AAGTAATCATAATTCATAAGTCATAACATCTAAACAATATTAAAAATTAGAAATACTCAAATATGAAATACTCAAATACTTCAATCATCCAAAGATTCAAAGTATCAAACTAGCCTACGGGTATGTATATATATATATATATATATATATATGTATATATATATATATATATATATATATATACATATATATATATATATATATATATATATATATATATATATATATATATATATATATATATATATATATAAAATAAAAAAAAATTAGTCAGGCCGAGCTGATCGGGTTAACTCGGCTAAGTTTGACGCTAGGCAGCCAAGTCGGCCAGTCGCCAGGGGGGAAATCTAGGGGCACCTAGCGCATAGGCGGGCGCCTAGACCGATTTTTGCAACAGTGACCCCACCATCGAGATTCGATCATACAACCTTCTCTCAAGGAGAGGGACAAAGCTGCCATTTGAACACAAGGTGTTTGGCGACATTTAGCATATCAATTGTTCTAATTATTAAAATATTTAATATAATTTTTAAATATGCAAATTAATTATATTCATCAATATTAAATTAAATTGTAAAAGTTTTAAGTTAAGTCTTGTTAATTAAAGAAGAGTGAGTTGTAGGGAGGGGTAAACAAGGAAATAGAGGGAAGGGTGAATTGGGGTATTGGCATGCACAGAATGCGAAGATGATTGTGGCACATCAGCATAAGTGGAGGGATATCAGAATCCGTAAAAGACCAGAGAAAATTATGGTGTTTATGCTATGTGGGCCCCAGCAGAAAATGGAGTCAACAGTCAACAGATAGTTTCAGCAATTCTCTCTTTTTCCTCCCCCATTTTATTCTCTTTCCATTGGACAGAAACAGAATTCTAATCTAATAATTAAAGGATGCGGCTTTGAATATAATAATGTCCAATTAATGATCACAAGTTGAATAATAGTTATTTTTTGTCATAAATTTTGAGTAAAACTACAACAAATCTTATATTGTGTTTGATGAGATGAATTAAGAATATAGCACCTGTAAATATAAAATATCATAATTCGTACACTATATGAAAATAAATAAGAAAAGTGAAGATTTGACATAATTTAATAAAGGAATAAGGTTCAAATTGGCCCCTGAACGTAACCTGAAAATGCAATTAAGCCACTGAACGAAAAAAAAAGTGCAATTAGGCCATTGAACACTCAAAAAATGTGCAATTAGGCCACTGAACTCTCCAAACGTATGCAATTTTACCGGATAGCAGGTTACCATCAATTTTAGTAGGTTACCTGCTTACGTGGCAGTTTAGTTGGCATTTTTAATAATTTTTAAATAATTTTTAATAATTAATTTTAATAATAAATTTTATAAAAAGTTGGAAAAAATTAAATAAAAATAAAGTAAAGTCGTTTTTATTTTTTAAATTTTTTTTAATAAAAAGTTATTATTAAAATTTATTAAAAATTAATTAAAATTTATTAAAAATGCAACTCAGCTGCCACGTAAGCAGATAACCTGCTAAAATTGAGGGTAACCTGCTATCAGGTGAAATTGCACATTTTTGGAGTATCCAGTGGCCTAATTGCACTTTTTTTTCGTTCAGTGGCCTAATTGCATTTTCAGGTTACGTTCAGTGGCCAATTTGAACCTTATTCCTTTAATAAAATTAGTTGTTTAATTCGACCCCTAAACAAATCAAATTAATAATTTCTCGAAACTAGGAACATAGTTACGTTGTTCCCGGTATTTTTTTTTCTTATAAAGTATTGTAAATTTATTCAATATCGTAAATAAATTTAGAGATAAGAGATACAATTCATGTAAGTCCGATCCGTATGTGATACCCGTAAATATTATAAAATTTACTTTGATATCCAAGCTAATTCTAATTACCCATCAAATAATTAATGAAACCTGTTGGATCTCGCACAAAACTATGCTTACTTCCTAAACCATGAAAGTTAATTTTAATTACCCAATCGGTAAAGTCACGCTTAACCACAGAGTTATTTGGTTGTCATATCCTTTTCAAAACAAATTGGTGATAAGTAGATCAACAATAACTATTTAACCACATTCTATAATATATAATGGTAAACCACAGGCCACAATATCACAAGTCGAAGACGGGATGTTAAACCCGACCCTCCAAGTCATAGTCCCAACAAAACCTAATCTAGGTAAAATGATGGATGGCCGTAAGAGACTGCTACACCAAGAATTATACTCCAGTTTTAAGCCATTGACCAGAAAATGAAAGACTATTGAGACCAAATATAATATAGTTTAAAAAATATTAATTAATAATTATTTCATGTGTCACATTCATATTCCCTTATTAGCTTACCTTGTTATGTCTTGTAATACATATTATTCCAAATACCTCAGATATGGTCTTCTCCCAAAGACAGCATCACATAATCCTTTGATTTTCGATCCCACAATGAAGCAAAACATCAGACAGATCTGAGAAAATAACATGATGAGCGTTTGGTTATACTAGAAACATATTGATGTGAGACCTCTCATCATCATCATTTTATTTTTGACCATCGTGAATAAAGAATAATGGTTCTAAATATAGATAATAATAAGAGCACATCAGGTGTGGGCTCCATTTCTTTCATATGTGGAATATATGCATGTCAGCATGTGTTTCATATCTTAAAGCATATATACGTACATATACATAGGCATATATTTTCCTGATCAACTTAGAGTCACTAATTGCATGTATATGTATTATTACAGTATATATGTATGTGTATGTGCACATAATTTTAATGCATAGATACAATAAATAAATAAATAAATAAATAAATAAATAAATAAATAAATAAATAAATAAATAAATATATATATATATATATATATATATATATATATATATATGTGTGTGTGTGTGTGTGTGTGTGTGTGTACATCCCTAGGAAAAATTAAAGAATATTATATTATTTGAAGCTGGGGCTGTGGTCCAGTCAAGTATACTGTTCATTTGCCTTGCATATAAAGCAATCTTTGTAACCCTATCTATCCTTGCCAATTGAATCATGATCATTTTCCAGCTCAAAACCATGTGAATAATTAAACAAAAATTTAATACCTAGCTAGCGTTCGGCAAATTAGATCCACACAGTGCTGTGTGTACCATAACAAAAAAGTACATTTTAATAACTAAAAGTATATTATTGGTGTACTGAATGTACATTATTCAAAATAATGTACTTTCAGTACTCAGATAATGTATTTTTCCTGAGTACAATGTACATTTTAATATATTAAAAGTACATTATTTGTGTACTAAATATACATTATTTGATAGTATGGTCCACACAATAATAATTGCTAGCGTTCAATCTTCGCATTTTGACGTATTTAACTTTAAAAAAAATTATATATATTGTACTAGTTTTTGTATTCTACAGAATATAACTAATTCAACAGTATCTCAATCATATCTGTTGTCACTACTACAAAAATATTGATTCCTGTCTATTGTAGGAAGCAATTAGGCTTATGTTTTACAATAGACACCTATGAACCGCTAATTAGTCAAGAGACCATTTTTTTTGGGGGGGTATTTGTTTAAGAATGTGAAGCCAGGAAAAGATATTATTCAAAAGTTGAATGCACTATAAGAAGAAATGTAGAGGCTAAGTTGAAGTCTAAGAGATTCTACCATTCTTCTTGGACATTATCTTGGGGATTCTCAAGGACAATGATCCTCTTCTTCAGATTATGCTCCAAGAAAATAAGGTTGTCTGGCACTGTTGTTATCCTCTTGAAAGATGTGATGAAAATTCACAATTCAAAATATTTGAACTGGATTTTTTATATATATATATAATTTGTTTAATTTAGAGTAAAGTAATCAATAAGTATGAAATTTGTGATGTGTACTTTTTTTTGAATGATACTAACTCTGTTATAATGTAATATCTGTTCATAACTAGTAATTACTTTCTCAACCTATGCTCGAAGTCACAACCTCCCATATGAGAATCCAACTTGGTGCTACTAGAAACCACAAGGTCTTGGCTGTGATGTGTACTTTAATTATATTAAATAGTTCTAAACTTAGTATAAAGTTAATACAAATAGTATTTTTCTAGACACTATTTTCTGTTTCTATGCAAGAATCTTTCGATTCTTAGATATATATGGATCTAATTGAGAATAAAGCTAAGTTTTAAAATATACTATAAATAATATCATAACACCTAATTCTTCTACAACTACTAGTAAAATAAAAGTACTAATATTTTTATTTTTATTTTTAAGATTGATCTATCAGTTGAACTATGCTCGAGAGCATACTCTTTAATTTAGTTAGTATGTCGGAAAAATGTCCCTAAAAATTGTTTTCAAACTCATCTACAAAAGTTTTCAAGATTATATACTGTTAGTTAATGTGTTACGATAATAGTTAAATATTATTGTGTGATCTAGTTTTTTACTCTCATAGTCAAATTCAATTATAACATTAGTTTTAAAATTGTTGAAAATTGAGAAATTTGAGAGGTATTTTGTTATGTTATTATATGAGAAAATGAAGATGATGTGATATAAGGGTATATTTACTACTTAGATAAAAGAAAAATAACTTATATTTAAATAATATATATATATATATATATATATATATATATATATATATATATATCCCAAATCTTTGATTCCACAAACATATATGTCTAAGTATGTGTACTGAATTTAATACACATATCACATATATACGTAGATGAATACTCTCAAATAAAATAAAATAAAATAAATAAAAGACAGTTAATTAGATGTGGTTTTGAGTACTAGTCAAGGGGGAGGGTGACTCCCAACACTATCTCTTGAGCTAACTTTAGAAAGCTACCAAAGAAAAAACCAAATCGGTTTCTTCTCTCTCTCTTGTCTTTCCCCTCACAGAAAGAGAGATAAACACTCCAAAGAAAACAGCGAACCTTCCATAAATCAGGAAAAGAAGAAGTTAAAGGTTAGTAGATAGAGAGAGAGAGAATCCAGTCTCCCTTTTTCCTTTATTTCTCCAGTTGTGTTCTTAAAGTAAGAAGCAAAATTGGTGTTTCTCAAGACCTTAAAACCCAGATTTTCTACTTCAATATAATCCTTCTTCTCCCTCTTTCATTATATTTCTTCTCTCACCATTATTTTGTCTTCAAGAATTTGATTAATCCCTCTTCTTGTATTAGATTTTCTTTCCTTTTTCTCTTTTTGCTTCTGTTTTTGTTTTGGGGTTTTCAATTCCCATTTGATTCGCCAACCCTAGTGGATGAAACCAGCTCAGTTCAGTATGTATTTTTCATTTCAGTGGATTCTGGATTTTATTCAACCTGCTATTATAATAATATATATTCATTTTTTTTAACAGATTTTTGTATTGATTCATATTTGGTATTTGTGTTTTTTTTTTTCAGTAGTCCAAAGATTGAAAACAAATTGGGTATTATTCCTTCAAGTTGCATAAAGTTGTGTGCTGGGCAGGAGCGGAGACACAAAGCTCGGAAAGTACGAAAGAGTACAACGTCGTACAAGATGGTTCGTATATGCATATATACGGAGGGAGGTGATGAGATGTGAATCCAATTTTCCGGCGATTATATTAATTGATGAAGAGAAGTGTGCCGCCGTCGCTGCTGCCGCCGGTAACCGGAGAAATTAAAGGAAGCCATGAACAAGAGTGGATCTGATCTCATTGATGCAAAGCTTGAGGAGCATCAGCTTTGTGGATCCAAACACTGTCCCGAATGTGGTCATAAGCTTGAAGGAAAACCTGTAAGCTTTCATTTCATCTCCAAATAATACTAATTATTACAGTTTTTGTTTTCTTTTTGGTTAAAAATAAATATTTTGTTTTTGCGGAAAAAAAAAAGGAAGGATCATGGTAGACGACAAGATTTTTTGTTGTTGCTTGAGTGATTCTGTGTTTTTGTCATTTCCGAAATAAATGCATTTATTTTTCTGGTTTTTTTTTTTACCCTAATTTTATTTAAAGGTTTTCTAGTTTTATTTCTCTCTCTTTTTTTTTTTTGGAAAAAAAAAAAGTTTGGGTTTTATTTAGTAAATTGAGTTGATTTGCAGGATTGGGTAGGTCTACCAGCTGGGGTGAAGTTTGACCCAACAGATCAAGAATTGATAGAGCACCTTGAAGCAAAGGTACTAGCAAGAGATCAATCCAAATCCCATCCTTTGATTGATGAGTTCATTCCCACCATTGAAGGGGAAGATGGCATTTGCTATACTCATCCTGAGAAACTTCCAGGTTTGACAACTTTAACATACATTATTACACCCAAAATGTCAAAAATTAAATATGGATACTCACATGAAGACTAGGATCTGATCTGAACGGTGGCTGATCGCGCAATTCGGGATTTACTTCAGCAGTGGCTCTTGGGATGGGGTCCAGTGGCCTTAGCATTAGTCCGGCAAAGTTGAGATTACCTGAGTGTTAAAAAAATAATAATAAATATGGTCCGACAAATGGTTAAAATCTCAAACTTCCTAACAACTTTATTAGGTTGATCTAATGATAGAGTTTCTTGGAAAGCCGGAAACAAAAGATGGTTTCTTTATGGGACATAATTCAAGAAGTTAGGTTTTACTACTGCCATTGTTCAGTAGTTCTGATCAGATCTGCCGGGGGGTTTGGTTCTTGAATTCACTAACTTTTCAACAAATTCGTTCATTTAATTTGTGGCCGGACTTTGAGCTTGTTTGTTTGTTGCACCTAAGTTAACCTAATTTTGATTTTGGTCACATTTTTAACACCTCCATTATCTGATCGATTTTTCTCCAGGTGTTACTAGGGATGGACTGAACAGGCATTTCTTCCACAGGCCATCAAAGGCCTACACCACCGGGACCAGAAAACGGAGGAAAATCCAGACGGAATGCGATCTTCAAGGCGGCGAAACGCGGTGGCACAAGACCGGAAAAACCAGGCCGGTGATGGTGCACGGGAAGCAGAAAGGGTGCAAGAAGATCCTGGTACTCTACACCAACTTTGGGAAGAACCGGAAGCCCGAAAAGACTAATTGGGTGATGCATCAGTACCATTTAGGGCAACACGAAGAGGAGAAGGAAGGAGAGCTCGTGGTTTCCAAGATCTTCTATCAGACCCAGCCCCGCCAATGCAACTGGTCTTCGGAGAGGAGTACTGCCGGCGCCGCCGCCGTCGGCGGCGGCGCCGGCGAAGCTAGCAGTGAGCCCACTAGCTGCTCTTCTTCCAAGGAAATCAACGTTGGTTCTTCCCATAGAGATGAGCTTTCTGCCGCTGTTGTTGGTGCGGCCATGTCGAGTTACACCGCCATGGACATTCAACAACTCAAAGCTGACCATTTTGGCTTTCTTCCCTTCCGAAAGAACTTTGATGAGGCATGGCATGCATGCATTTTTATTATTATTTTTTTTTGAGTGACTAGGGAAACCCGCACTTAGAACCGAGGGTGTGCACTGGTTTAACCCTATCTTATAACCTTAACCAGTAAAAGATCACAAATCAGCCTATATTATCCATAACTAATTAGCTTAAACTAAGAGAACTGTGATGCAAACACGTGACTGCATTTGTATCCTTAGTCATCTTGACTGGGTTACCCCTCGTACCAGGGAAACCCGCAGTCAGAACCAAGAGTGTGCACTGATTTAACCCTATCTTATAATGTTAACCATTAAGGATCATAAATCAGCCTATATTGTCCATAGCAAACAGGTGACTTTATTTGTATCCTTACTAATCTTGATTGGTTTAAGTACCTCTCCTTCATCTTCTTCTTTTCTTTGTAGAGGAAGTGATGTTTAAGAATAATGGGTTATTTGATTTGTTGTTGAGCAGGCCGGAATCGGAGGAGGAGAAGGTTCAAGGGCAATGGAAGGTGCTGCAGCGGCGGTGGCGGAGCATGGAGGCGCGTGCGAAGAGCGTGACATCTCCGATCAACACCAATCACATGCATATCACGTGACACATGACCCTCCCCAACATCATCAACACCATCATCACCACCATCAAATTGCAGCAACACAATTCCACATCATCTCTCCTCCTCCTCTCCATCACGCTTCAGTCAATATTCTTGACCACAATATTGACCCCTTCCAAGTCCCCAGAATGTTACTCCCTAATGATAATTTCCAGGTAATTAATTCATCAATTATCATAATAAATATTATTATTATTATTAGCAATTTTGATGAACGTTAAATACACGTACATATATGTATATAACTTGGAGTGTACACAATATTTTACAACGTAACTGTGGAACTTTATGGCATCCAGCAAAGTTCTAAAAAACAAGGAATATAATCATCAATCATATATGTTTTGCTTTTTACATTTCAGTTTTATTTATTTAATTTAATTATGAAAAAGAAAAAGGGGAAAAAAAGGACAATGCATGATGTCATTTATGATGATGTTTTCTTTTCGTGCTAAACATGTAGTGTTTTTGGCAGCAAGCACAACAGCAGCAGCAGCAACAAGAAGGGGGAAGATCAACATCTGGATTGGAGGAACTCATAATGGGCTGCACTTCAACTGACATGAAAGAGGTATGTATGTAAATAATGTAATAATCCATTTCACTTTTTGACCATGAATTTTTTCATTTTCCTTTTTTATTTTTATTTTTCTGTCAAATTATTATTATTATTTTTAAATACTAGCTACTTGAGTCTTGAAAGAATTAGTCCTTAGTGACTTTATATGCAATTATTTTTATGGTACTAAAGTAATTAGGTGGGGTTTTTGGGCAGGGAAGTAAGGGGGTAAATAACTATAAGACTTCTCCTTTTCCATTTTTTCGTCTATTAATAATTCTTCACTCCCAAATTTTTCTTGTTTTTAATCGTTACTTTTATCTTGTCAGATCATCTTTTATGTGTTTGAATTAATTAATAAATTTGCACTCAAATTAGTTACATTTTTTTTAATATTTAGTTTTTATATATAGAGAGAGGGGGGATAGGGGAGAGGGGAGAGGGGAGAGTACTTGGAGAATAATATTGAATTGGGAAAAACGTCAAATAGGCCCTCGAACTTTAGCTTAAAAGTCAATTAGGTCCCTGAACTTTTTAAAAGTTCAATTACACCCATCAACAATTCATTTAGGTGCAATGAAGCCCAAAAATAAGTTAATGACCTGCTATCACAGGTCATTAGGGTTCAGGCCACCTTCCGGCGAATTTTCCGACATAAAAAAGGTGACCACCAACCGACTCAGATTTGCCAAAAATTTCGCCGGTCATTTTTTTTTTTGCCGGAAAATTCGCCAGAAGGTGGCTTGAACCCTAATGACCTGTGATAGCAGGTCATTAATTTGTTTTTGGGTTTCATTGCACTTAAATGAATTGTTAATGGGTGTAATTGCACCTTTAAAAAGTTTAGGGGCCTAATTGACTTTTAAGCTAAAGTTCGAGGGCCTATTTGATCCTTTTCCCTATTGAATTTAATTTCTCAATTCTTTTGAGTACTAAATATTGATAATATTAGTAAATTTCTTTTTCCTTTTCTCTTCCTTATATGTTGTCTTAGTATAAGGGAGTGAGATTTTACTTAAAATCTCTTAGTTAAATTTACTCTTTGATTTACAAGAAAGTCCAGAAAGAAAAAAAAAAGTAGCATACATTGTCTGTAACTGACCGACTCAAATCAATAAGGTGAATAGGCAGCTCCAATGGATAATAGAACTCTGAACATTATATATATAGTCTTCTTTCTTAGCATCATTTCAATTTTTTTACTTTCTATGTTTATTCTTGCATTATATGCATTTATATAATGCATATAAAGATAAATATTAATTGTTTCTGTTCCATGGTGTTTCTTGCTTGATTGATTAGGATTATATTATTCAATCATCAGATTGTACAGAATTACATAACTCTATCTGGTAAATGATTGTTAGCTGATTGGGTTAATTAGAGGGTATAACTAGTTAATAACATTAGCTGATTGTAGAAATGTGTTTGGTAAATTAGCTGTTAGCTGATAGCTGTTTGGTATAATTTTTTTTTCTCAAAAAGCTAATTGAAAAAGTTGCTTTGAGTAGCTTTTTGAATTTTAACATTTTGGAGTACAAAAAACTAATTAACCAAATACTTATATTGATTTTTAAATCGAGTCAAACAACTAATATTGGTCAAATAAGCCAAAATTGACGTATAGACTAACTATTTTACCAAACAGGGGCATAGAGAATATATAAAGAGTTATTAGCTCTATTACATTGTACTATCTGTTCATATACTTTCTCAATCTACTGAAACACAAAGAGCCAATAACGCCTCCACTGAGGCTCGAACTCATAACCTTCCAAATGGAAGTCCAACCCGGATACCATTAGACCACATAGTCCTGGTATATATATAAAGAGTACATATATAAGCAGACTAGGACTATAAGTCTATAACACAATATGAGTCCTAACATGATTCACATATAAAAAATCAATCCCTTTGCTAGAATAAGTCAAAGATATAGCAACAACCTTAACTAGATCTTGTGCAGCTAGGAGACCAATTAGTTTTGTCACAAAAAGGGATAATATTCCATTTGTACACGACAGAATCTTTCCTAATATAACAAATTTAAAACATCTCTATATTTCCTTTTACCAAAGAGACATTGAAATATTTCCCTATGTTATATGGCTGTAAGATAATATAAATAACTTGAATGTACATTCACCCAATTCCCAGATCTATGCCAAATTGCCAACCAAACTATAAAATAATTACAATAGCCCACCAAGGCATAGTTTAGTGGTGCAAAGGTTAGAGAGAGATAAGTCTTAGTAGGACCAAAGACGGAAATGGGAAGCTTTTCCTATGAATTGACAAAAATGGGACAATTTTTAAAGCTGGACTGAAATGGAAAAATCATTTGAGACTTGCTTTGTCAGAAAGGCATGTCCTAGATGCGTTTGATTTTTTTTTTTTTTTTCCCTAAATGTTGAACACAAACGCTGGGTCCTTGACTTTTTGCGCAAAATTCAAGGTGGAGAGACAATTTTGAGTTGAAATGAAAAGTTGGACAAAGGTGTGTAAAGTACTCTCATTACCTTCTTCTTATAACCAGCAGATGATGGAACTATAACCAGCAGCTGTGGATGTTCTTCTTTTCCTTGATCAGATCGTTGGACATCAATCCTTGTTGGTTCCGACGCCCGATGTACGTAATACATCAGATGTAAGTGGGATTTGCGTCTGATGTATAAAATACATCAGGTGCAAGTCCCACTAGCGTATGTGGTCAACGGTCAACATTTTGAAAAAAAAAAATTTCAAACGCATCTGGGACATGCGTTTTTGACACCAAATGCAAGTCCCAAATGCTCTTTTTCCATTCAGTTCAGCTTTCAAAATCGTCTCATTTTTGTCAATTCATGGGAAAAGTTTCCATTTCAATCTTTGCCCCAGTCTTAGTAAGGTGTAAGGTGGGGATTCAGTTCCATTGGAGTTGTTTCTCTTGTAGATTGAGATCGATCACACAATTCACTTTATTCACAAAACTCTAGGGTTTGGTCAATATATAAAAGCCCTTACGAATAAGTTCAACCATTACAAAATAATTACACTAGTTCTCAGATAAACGAGAACTAAATGCATGACAAGCTCTTTTGTGGGACTTGATTCGGGTCGAGCCTCTCGTCCTTTTGTCATTGATTTAAGCAAGACATTATTAATCATATGTAAATATTCAGCATATATATTTTGTTACAGAGACAATTAACAACAGTTTATTTTTGGTTGGATATGATGCAGGAAACATCCATCCCAAATCCACAAGAAGCAGAATGGATTAAGTACTCATCCTTCTGGCCCGACCCGGACAATCCGGACCATCATGGGTAGGATACCTATAAACAAAATCTACTAAAAGAAAAATCTCTCACATACACACAATACTATACTGCAAGTGACCCAAAGGGCTCTCTTCTCTGAACTATTTCCTCAAGAATCCATATCGGAAAAGCAAGAAAAGGGAAGAATACCAAAATAAAAAAAAATGGAATAAAAAAATTTAAAGAAAAAGAAAAGAAAGCCAAGAGAGAAAGGCTGCTCCCTCCTGAACTAAAGATTCGGAGAAGAAGCATCATCATCATAGCATCATCATCATCATCTTTATTTTATTTTATTATAACTTTCTTTTCTTTGTATAATTTTCTTTGTTTTATTATTTCTTTTACATATATGAAACAAAAAGAACATCATATATAGGATGTATACGTGTACATATACATACATATATACATGTATATATATGTATGTATGCATGTGCAAAGTATGAATATTTAACAAACTTCCTTACACATGCATGTGTCACATTTTAATTTGGAGTAATTAGAAATTTATAATGCTAGCTAGTTTTGGGACACAAATTATAATATTTCCCTTTATAGAATGTAATGTAATGCCATACAATTATGAATGGCACTTTAATTTTTAACTAAAATACATTGTTGAAAAAATCGTTAGGCGTTCCTTGGGCGCTCGGGGGCACCTAGCGGCTAGGCTGCCAAAGTGTCCATGTATTTTTTATTTTATCTTTTATTTTTTAAAAATATGTCTAAATTTTTTTAAGGCTAATAATTATAAACTATTTAATTAGTTACTACTAAAATATTAAATATTAACTTAAAAAACATGTAGAGTTTGAACAATTTAAGGTTTTTCGCTCAAAACGATGTCGCTTTGGGTGAAATAACTAATGTAAAAAAAAAAAAAATAACAATAGCTAATCGGCCTAGTCGGTGCTTAGGAGGCCTAGTCGGTGCCTAGGAGGCTTAGGCGGTTAGTGCCTAAGCGGTTGAGTCGGTCGTCTAGCCGGCTGGCCACCTAGACAACCAATTATGGTGCTAGGCGACTGGCTAGCGCCTAGGCGGGATTTTTTTTGGAAATATTGCTAAAAAATAATACTTTTATGAGCTTATAAAAAAATACTACATTTTAGCTAAAATATATTACACGTCTCACGTGAAAAAGTTTCACACAAGATCAATTCTTATATAATATGCTTAACACATCTCTCACATGTAAAAGCTTATTACTTTTAAAGGGTCACACAACATGTGGACAAATATCAAATTGGATGGTGTAGTGTGTTATGTCTCACCTAAGTCTAAAATGATAATTGTATTACATACTTATTCTTGATAAAATGTTCAAATAAATCCTTAAACTTTATACAAAAATGAGATTTGGTCCCTGAATTTAAAAAGTTACAATTAAACACAAACTTTTTTTCTTGTACATCTCGACCCAATAACCAATATAATTATCCATTGGTAATAACAAGTCACTTGGGTTCGAATTGAATGACTGAAACTAATGATAGGTAGCCAACGAACGGCCGTCGGCCGCATTCTTCTTCTTCTTCTTCTTCATCGGAGAAGGCAGTCTACTGGTCGCTTTCTTTGGTGGAGAGAGCAAACTACTGATCGCCATTTTCAGTGAAGATGCATGGAAACCAACGACAATTCACTAGCTAGCGGTCGCAATTTTTTTTTCTTCAAAAGTGATTGACGACTGTTCATTGGTCGTCAATTTTCATGACCAGAATACTAATGACCAGTTATTACTGGTGGACAATCGACTATTAGATCCAAATGCACACAAATGACAAGTTGATGCGTTTAATTGTAACTTTTAAAAGTTAAGATGTCAATTATGTTTTTTATATAAAGTTCAAAAGCTTATTTGACCCATTTTTAATTTTTCTCTTTATTATTTTACATTATAAACGCTCTCCTTTTTATAGACAATATTTACAACGAAATATCATATCAAGTCTAGGTCATGATTCATGTTCAGTTGAGTTACCATGATTTACATCTTCCCAAATGCTCTGTCGGGTCGGAGTGTGGGGGCCCTTAGGGTTGGAGATCAGCCCTTTGGAAGTCTAGGCCATGATCACAACTGAAATAATAAAATAAGCATTTTTCCGTTTTGTGTGTACAACTGTACGAACTTCAATTAGGAGCTAATAGGTAATGCTTTAGTGTTCAAACCAAACAACCACCGCAAATAACCCACACTGGCGTTTAAATTTCCAGTCTGCAGGCATGAAAGAGTACTTGCAAATTAAAAATAAATAAATAACTTACATTAAAATGATGGTCTTCAATTTTATTTCTTGCTTGCAAAAACACGTTTAAATTTTAGAAACAATTAGTCCGTATTTGCATTTATTTACTCAAGCTTGCTGTTCATATTTATTCCCGATCTATATAAACAATCAACTAACTCAGTTACAAGTTAATAAAACTAACCAAATTAAAAATACATGTTACGGTGCAAATTATAACTTCTAGCGCAAATAGTCCATCTTAAACTTAAATTATTTTCCTTACAAATAAATAAATAAAACTTTAAAATGTGAACAAAACAGTTGCCTAATCAAGTACTGGTATTATCCTTCCCCCAAAAAGGGAATCAGACATTTAAAGAAAGTGGATAATAAGATCCTACTTAAGATTTTGTGTATCTATATGCTTATTATACATCATTTCGACAAGTATCTCTTACAAGTTTCATATGAGCAACAGAATGAATGATTAATGAAATGAATGAATGAACCTAAAAGATAAGAATACGTTAACATGCAGAATATAATATTATGAAATTTCAATTTCTGATTATGGAAATTGAGGTTTACGTAAGTATATACAGTCTTAATTAGGTGGTGGCTGCTAATTGCAATTGCGTTGTCTTTCTTGCTTTATTTCTGCATTGTAAGTATAGTGAGACCATGTAGGGGGGGGGGGGGGGGGGGTCCATTATATGGGACATGCATGTTATAAAGGTAAAATTATATATAGACAAAAAGAGTAGCGAAGCAGGCAGCTTCATCGAAGTTTCTGAAGAAAGGCAAGGGAATAAAGCTAAGGTATAACAAACACATGGAATTTAAGGACAAGAATCGACTTTACCATGCACGAATATCTAAAATCTAAAATATAGTAATACTATATCTACTATACTAATAAGAGCCCAAGAGAGTTAGGCCTGTATAATAAATAGGAAAAATGGGCGGTCAAATTTTTTAATAAAATGAATGCTCAGATTGATCAGATTTTAAATTTTTCTTTAGATTTTCTAATTTACCTATACAATTATTTTATTGACAATTATAATCAATCTTGACTATATTATCTTGCATTTGTAAACTTAGAATTAGCTATTTAAATACGTAAATTCAACATTCATTTATCTATGCATGAACAATTCCAATATAATCTTGTATTTGATATACTTCAAAGTACTTATTTAAAAAAAAACTATTGGACATTATCCCAATCGCGTAAAAAGTTAGTTATATTTATATAAATATCAATGGTGATAAATAAGGTTGTAATAGAAATAAACAAAGAAAGTTATGTGTAATCTATTGTAATAATAATGCCTATATAGACATATAGTACTTATTTTCTCAATTTCTTATGTACTTAAAAAAAAATTTCCTTAAGTTATGTGTAATCTATTGTAATAATAAGAGTGAATTACATTTTTGGTTCTACTGTTATAGGGGCGTTTTCAATTTTAGTCCACCTTAATTTTTTTGCCACTTTATAACCACTATTATTGAATGTGTTCCACTTTTAGTCCCACCGTTAGTATTTCCATCAAGAGGTCGTGTAATCTAGGGGTATTTTGACATTTCTTCTCATCCAAAACTATGTTTGACTAAAGAAATGAGAATGTTAAACCTAAAACCTAAGTAACCTGGTGAGCTGTCGTAGGCTCCCAAATTAAAACCTTACAAACGTAGTAGCGGGAGTAAGGATCGATCCCACGAGGAGTAACTAGTATAACTTTTGTGCTCAAATTAAAGGTAGGGGGGTTTGGAACATATCGAGAGTAAAGATAAAATAAAAGAGAATTTAAATAAACAAGAAATTTAATTGAACGAATAAAGCAATGAAAATAATATATCGAAAACACTTATAATAGGAGACCTTGGTTAGTAAAGATCCACCACCGGAATTCAACACTGATCATTGATTAATAAAGTAATTAATATGCAATTGAATATTTGTCGTGAAATTATTTCATTTCTGTTTTCCCTTAGTTGTAGGTAAATAAAGCACAAGCGGTTTAATTACCCCTAACTACTAAATAATCTAAGACAAGCGCTATAGATTTAATTTAGTAGCAGCAATAGGAACTAGGAAAACCGACAAACTAAATAACACAAGCACAAGCGGTTGCATTTAATTTAGGAAAATATTCTACCCGAGACCAATTATCACTAAGCCGTCAATAATTAACCTCAGTTGCTACTGAATATTAGAATAATTTGTAGCACAACATTATCTAATATAACAAATAATTATATCAAATAAATAACTAGTAGGCCTCCCTAGCAATTAAATGATACAACTATTCAAATAATTTAGAAGAATATTTAATACTCAAAATGCATAAAAACATATATATAATAAAGTTAAATAAATAACCTTACAGCGTTATGAACTCCGGGGCTTCAATTCACTAAACCAATTAGAAATTAGCCACAAATGAACATTGATAACAACTTCAACGAATACTATAGAGGAGGGAAGAATGAACATTTTACAATAGAAAACCTTAACTATTTATATATTTTCCCAATCATTTTCTACCACTCATTTTTCCTATTATTTTGCCTTATGCCTGAGTCTTCCACAATTCCAGCCATGTTATTATGATGCATGCCTGTACAAAAAAGAAAAAATCAATTGCAAAGTTTAGATTTATAATATATATATATATATATATATATATATATATATATATATATATATATATATATATATATATATATATATATATATATATAAGTAATTATAATGTAGTACGCATTATATGTATACTATAATGCATTCTATATTATATATATTATATTATATATTATATATATATAGTATTAAGTACGTAGTATGTACTCTTATAAATTATATATTATATATAGTATAAGAATAGATTATACTATGTATATAAAAAGAACTAATTATTAGATAATATTAAATAATTAATATAAAAATATTATAAAGATGTAACTAAAATATGAGTGTAAAATATGCCCATCAAATTCCCCCACACTAAAACGTTTGCTTGTCCCCAAGCAAAAATATTATTTGCGAAGTAAATAGAAATGAAATTCCCAAAACTCATAACATATCATGAACAACAATCTGAAGCACCCTGCAATTAATAAGTTAGCACCCTGTTTGAAAATGGAGAAATTTAGTAAGCCCTCACAGGAATATCACTCATCACTCAAGTGTTTGATTGGTATAAATTTCACTCAAGTTCATTCCTATAAAATTGATCTACCATAGGCTTGCATATCTTCTCAATCACCACTACAAGAGTCATGCATGAC